TACCTGAGCCCCCAGACCCTCCCAGCACCCCTGCGCTCTCCTGTAACTCCTCTGCACCCCTACCTGAGCCCCCCAGACCCTCCCAGCACCCCTGCGCTCTCCTGTAACTCCTCCGCACCCCTACTGCAGTCCCCCACTCTCCAGCACCCCTGCGCTCTCCTGTAACTCCTCCGCACCCCTACTGCAGTCCCCCACTCTCCAGCACCCCTGCGCTCTCCTGTAACACCACCACACCCCTACCACAGTCCCCCAGACTCTCCCTGAAGTCTCTGTCATCATGCAGGAAGTGACCCAGTCAGTGAGGTGGCTGCTTCTCAGAACAGGTGCTGAAGGGCAAGTCGGAGAGCGTCAAGACCCCCGGTGTCCCCTGTGAGTCAGTCTCGGGGAGGAAGTCCTCATAATCTTTGTGCACCATCGTGGGGGAGGGGGGGCTCAGCCGGATCCTGCCCGGTGCCAGGCCTCATCCTCCTGGCAAAGCTTGCTCCTGCCACGGAAAAACATCCTGAGGATTTTCCCAGTGTATTTCCACATGTCAAGACTCTGCACATTTCCCTGATGCCTGGCCCCTTCCCCCTTTCTAGTAAATTCTCTTCATTCCTCAGCCTCTAGCCCAGGCTTGCCCTCTTCCCTTGGAGATCTTTCAGGCCCCTGACCCCTGCCCCCCCCCCCCACTCCGTGTGAAGAGGGCCCAGTGGCCCCAGATGCCTGAGTGGTGTTGGCCTTGCTGGTCTCCCTGTGGGGGGCCTGCCTTCACTCTGCTCCCTGCCTGGCCCAGGCTAGCAGGTGCTCAGTGGCTCCCGGCTAAACGAGTTCATTATTTCAGGATTTCTGCGACACGCATAGCCAGACATCCCTCTGTTATTTGGAGGGGGATTTGGAGACGCGGCCTTTCTGCACAGAATCCTGAAGCCTGTGTAGCTGTGGATGGGGACCCGTGCCCCACTCCCCTCCCCCACCCGCCTGCCCCCAGGGCCTCCTGTCACAGGGCAGCCTGAAAGACTGCTAACTGCTGTGTGATGCCCTCAGGGGACCTGCATTTTAAAGAGCCAAGCCTTTACTAATCCTAAGACTATTTCTGCGAGGGTAAATTGCCATCATTATCTAGGGTGGAAAAATATCCTAAAGGGCTGGGTTTCTCCCCTAAAACCATAGCCCACGATGGGTCCCTGTTCTACCTGACGTTAACCCATTGTGAAGGCCTGAAGGCCTGGCCGCCTCTCCTAACGGCACTTTCTCATCTTAAACCTGTAATGACCTCACAGGTCTGCTATGGGGTTGGGGGTGCGTCAGGTCAGTGAAGGCGCTCCCAGGCCCTCTATGACGGCCAGCTCACTTGGGGACACATCGGGCTCTCAGATCAACAGAGACCAGCGTCCCAACTGTCCTCAGCTTTCGCTGACCCATTAAACTACCAAGAGTGATTTTCGGAAGCAGCCCTGTGTATGTTTCCTCGGCCCCTGCCTTCCCTGACACCCCACAGCTGACAGAACACTGAAGCCCCGTCTCCCAAAGGCCAGGTGTGCCAGGGCCCCCCATACCGCATCCCTGCTTTGCAGCAGACACCCTGGGATGCACCCCAGGAGGACGGAGTGGGCATCCAGGCAGCCAAGGCCGGTCCCAGGAGACTCGTGCAGCCACATGAGAGTGTGGGGAGTCAGGGACAGTCCAGGTGCCCAGGTTGGGAACCACACTGCGAGGAGAAGCAGGCAGTGCTGCGGGGCCCCAGTGGGGCAGGGGCCGTGGTCTGGAGCGTTCACAGGACTGGGAAGACTGGGTGGGAGGAGGGCAGGGCAGGGGACGCTGGATGAAGATGGGGACAGAGGAGGACCCTCAGGCTTGACGAGGACACGGAGTAGAGGGGCAGCACTCATCTGAGCGGGGTACCCCTGACACGTGTGTATCAGCTAGCCACGGTCACAGCGGTGCTGCATAACGAGCATCCCCACCACTACTGCAACTCACGGGGGCTCAGCCGGCAGCCGCTACAGCCTGCAGGTCTGTGGTCAGCGGGCAGCTCGCTGAACCAGGAGAATAGCCTTTATGGGTTGAATTGTGCCCCCTCTCCCCGCCCAGAGGAGACGTCAGAGTCCTAACCACCAGTACCTGGGAATGTCACCTTATTGGGAAATAGGGTTTTTGCAGGGGCTCACATCAGGGGAGGTCATCAGGGTGGCCCCACCCACCATGACCGGGGTCCCAACAGGAGGGAGAATGCCGCATGAAGACACAGACACATGGAGGAGATGCTGTAGGAGGACATGGTCAGAGACGCAGTGAGGCTGCCACAGGGCCGGGACAGCCCAGGGCCACCAGAGGCTGGGAGAGACAGGGAAGCAATTTTTCCCCCAGAGTGTGAGAGCGTGGCCCTGCCAGAACATTGACCTTGGACTTGTGGCCTGCAGAACCATGCGAGAATAAATGCCTGTTGTCCACGCCGCCTGTCCTGGACTTTGTCTCATGGCTGCAGTGGAAGCAGAACCACAGGACTCGGAAGGAGCTTGGCTCTGGAACAATGTGGCTTCCGTCCCCAAGCCACTGGGCACCGTCGAGGCCGGGCATACAGTCTGCTCACCGTCAGTGTGGACCAAGACAGGGCCAGCCACTTTCTCAGCCAAGTCTCTGTGGCTCCCCGTGGCCTGCTGTGTGGCTTGCATTCAAGGCTTTTCTATTTCTGGCTTCTCTCCAGGCACGGACACACTCTCCCTGGTGACACAGAGCAGGACCCCGTGTCTTCTCTACATAAAGGGCCATCTCCCCGGCTTCTGTGTCCCCAGGCCTCCATGAGGCGAGGCCCTCTCTGCCCAGAACGGCCCAAAAGGCTGAAGGCTGGACTTCCTCACATTGCATTCCCAGCACCTCACTCATAACGGGATGTAATAATAAATGTCAGCTGAAGCCATACCGTAGACAACAGACAAGGAACCTTAGAAGATAAGGAATTTCAGGAAGCAGATCCTTTAAAATAGGTGCAGGAAGGGCCCCTGGGTGGCTCAGTCAGATAAGTGTCCAACTTCAGGTCAGGTCACATTCTCACGGTTCGTTCATTCAAGCCCCGCGTCGGGCTCTGTGCTGACAGCTCTGAGCCTGGAGCTGCTTCTGATTCTGTGTCTCCCTCTCTGTCTGCCCCTCCCCTGCTCCCTCTCTCTCTCTCTCAAAAATAAACATTAAAAATAATAAAATAAAATAAAATAAAATAAAATAAATAAAATAGGTGTGGGAATGGGAGGTTTTGGTAAAAGAGAGGTAAAGGAGGGAAATGAGCTGCGAGAGGAGGGTTAGAGGGGACGGGACCCTGCAGCCGTGCGCTGCCTCCAGGGAGGATGAGGCGTGGACAAGCCATAAATGGAGGCCTGGGGGCGCGGCCACGCAGGTGAGAATAGGACATGCCGGGGTAGGTGGCCGCACCCTCCTGGCCCTGGGTCACCGCCCCACGCGGCGCGTTAACGCCCTCCTGAGTTAGGGTAAATTCAGTGCAACCAACCGCGGCTGAAAGCCTCGAGGCCGCGCCTGGCTCAGAGCGGCGGCTCGCTGGGGGCTCGTTCCCTCCTGGCAGACCCCCACCCCTGCACGTGCTAGCGTGTCCCCCACAACCCAGGAGTGGTCTCGGCGGCGCGCCCCACGTCCCCACACTGGCAGTCGCACCGCCCATTCCCGCCCCCGGCCCCTCTTTGGACACCAGCCGCAGACGCGGACGCTGGGCCGGATGAAGCGCTCCACCAGCCCTCCAGCCACAGGGCGGATCCCTTGTCAGGCATTCCAAGGAGCTCAGCGACCACTCCAACCTGCAGCGCCGGCCACGTAGGGCCGGCCACCCGGCGACGGCCGAGAATAGGCGGTGGCGGGCACGGGCTCTGAGGCACTTGATTCTCAGCTCCCCTCTAGCGCACCGCCCTGGTCCCGGAGCATGGCCGTCACAACAGACGCCACGAGGTCTAGGAAGCCTGTGTGCTCCCCTTTCCACGGAAATTCTCAGCATTTCCCTCCTGCACGTGGAAAAGCCAATATCAATTATTTTAAACTCACAATTTGTGCTATTGCTAATATTGCCATCATTACCTATTGGCACATTCAAATCTCCGCCACACAAGCATCAGTGAAGCTCCAGATGCCGTCATCGTGATACGTGGGAACGAGCTCCGTGTTTCCATCGCTGCTTTGGAGGCAATTTCACAAAAGTTCGGGAGGCCTGACACACGTGGCCCACTATCGACCCTAACTGTGGCTGGGACACCAAGACTCAGTGCAAGAAGAAAGAGCGGGACTCTCTTTCTCTCAAAAGTAAATAAAAACATTTAGAAAAGTAAAAAGGGGCGCCTGGGGGGCTCAGTCAGTTGAGCAGCCGACTTGGGCTCAGGTCATGATCTCACGGTTTGTGGGTTCGAGCCCCACGTCGGGCTCTGTGCTGACAGCTCAGAGCCTGGAGCTGCTTCCGATTCTGTGTCTTCTTCTCTCCCTGTCCCTCCCCCATTCGTGCTCTCTCTCTTTCAAAAATAAATTTTAAAAAAATGTTTTAAAAAAGGAAAGGGGGCAGAAGGTCGGGGTTTCAGCCCTGCTTTTGTGTGACCTGAAGTCCCCTGGCCCTCAGCCTCCTCACCTCCCGGTGGACAGAGCAGGCCGTTAGCTCTGTGGACCGTGGGCCTGCGGAGGCGCTGGCGAGCACGCTGAGGTTTGGGGGAGCACGCGGCCACCGTGCACTCGAGCTGGGCCTCCCGTGGGCAGCAGACTTCTCTCTCTCAGGCCCTCTGGATCCCGAGATGCTAGCCTTGCCCAGAGGAAAGCCAATGTTTCCCCTGAAACTAGAGACCTCTTCCATGCAGGTGTCTGTGTGGCTCTCTCCGCCCCCACCGACCTTCTGCTCATCCTAAATCCTGGGTCAGACTCCGCGCTTGCAGAGACCCCAGGCTACACCAGGGTCTTCTGGGTCCCAGACCCCCTGTGCACAGTCTCTCCGAGCAGGTCGGCTTCATTTCATGCTCCTTATTGCCTGCGGAGAACGGTACCACCTTCCCGTGCTTCCCCGACTCTTTAAGATGATCCCCATGTTGGTAAGTACGTATGGAAACAAATTTTAACTGATGCTCTTTTAGAAACTTCTGGAAGATCTCTGTCTTTTACGACCTTCTGAAAAGCAATGCTTTTGTACTCATCAAGAGCTTTTAAAACATTCATATCCTTCGATCAGAGGTGAGAACACGAAACGCAGACAGAGCTTTCAGCACAAAGCTGTCTGGGGTGACTATTTCGCTGGAGCACGTGGATTTTTCCAATGAAAACAGAAAGCCATGTTATCTTTTACCTGCTTCCTTCCAGACCTGCTCTCCTGACTGCCCCCTGCCCGGCTCCTGGGTCCTAGGAAGCCTGGTGGTCAATGGCAGATGATAGGAAATCCAGTTAAACACCATCTCAAATCTCCAGGCTCTTACCCTGTTTAGACTCCCCTCTTCTGGAGAAAGAGTCTCAAGAAGGGGGTGGTGGAGGAGGAAGTCGGGTCCTGGGGGCAGGGAGGAGGAGCCGGTTGTTTGTGTCCCCAGATTGAAAATACAGACTTTCTCTGGAGGCAAAGACCAATGTCCAAAAACAGGGGATCATTGCAGTAAATTACTATTTGGATATAACTTGATTTAATATCATACCACCAGTAAAAATGTCACTTTTGGGGGCACCCGGATTGGTTAAAGCTTCTGATTCTTGATTTCAGCTCAGGTCATGATCACATGGTTCTTGAGTTCGAACCCCGTGTCGGGCTCTGCGCTGACAGTGTGGAGCCTGCTTGGGATTCCGTCTCTCCCTCTCCCTCTGCCCCTCCCCTCCTCTCTCTCTCCTCTCAAAATAAACAAATAAACATTTTTAAACTGTTTAATTTCTTGGGGGAAATGCTTATGATAAAATGTGATCAATGAACATGTACATAAAATTGTATCTGCCATTTCATGTGAAAAATAATGTCCAGCGGGGGGAGGGGACCTTGAGTAAGCTATCGGAAATAGTGCTTCTCTCTGTATGGATGGTTAAGGATGATTATTTTTACGTACCTTTTTATATTTTTCTCTAATATTCAAAATTTAAGTGTCCCAACGAGGGTATATGATTCAGGTAATCAGAAAGTTAAATCAAGTTTGGAAACGCGGCACAGCGTGGTTTTCCTGGGCCCCGGCCGGCTGGCCCTGACTCATTCCCAAGATGATAAGGCAGGTCTTTCCCACTGAGAGCATGAGGGGTGCGGCCGATGCACAAACGTCTGCACCTGTCAGCGGCCGAGAAGGGGAGTCAGTGCCCCTCGGAGAGCCCCCAGTGCCCACGGCGCCCTGCTCACAGACGCCCTGGCCCCGTGCCCACTGGGGACATGGGACCAAAGGTCTGGCCGGAGGCCCTCTCGGGAGACCAGGGCCGGCCGCCGGTCCGCGCGGTGGCA